TTAGGGCTCAGAAATTACTCGGTTTGGATATGAATCCGAGTTTTGGACCCTATATGGATCTAGGTATGGATCCAAGATTTGGATTCGATGGGTCGGATCTGGATCTAAAATTTGAACCTGAATAGTAATTTGGATCGAATCTAGGTATAAGTGGATCCGATCTTAATCCGACCCAGTTATTAAAATATTATGTATTCTTTTATATATATACATATATGTTATATAATAGTTTTTGTTATATACTATTTTATAGATATAAAATAATTTTCTTGGATCTGAACAGATCTGGATCCAAATCCATATCCCATTTATACCTTTCAGATCCGAATCCGAATCCCAATGGATCCGAACTCGATCCGACCCATTCTCAGCCCTAAATCATATCTTATGCATTGATATTTGTGGTTCATCATATATCTGTGAGTATAGGCATTTAAACACTCGAACATTTTGGGTCCCTATACGATTGTTCATCATCGACTACTTAATCCATGTCCATTTCTTCGTTAAACTCTTCGTTTTGGTATTAATGTTCATGTATGCTAATTGCTGCCATGAAGCACCCTGACGCTTGTGTAATTTAACTCTCATCGAATGTTTGGCCTAAACAGAAACTTATTTATATCGCTATTAAATATTTAAGAAAGCATTTGGTTGACGCTTGAGTTATTGAAATAATCATCTATTCCATCAATAGGTACTATAATGCTTTAGTTATAGATCTAATCATTTAATATCATCATCAGATCCTTTTCCCAACTATCTGGGGTTGGTTAGATCTAATAATTTATATTGTAATTAAAAATAATCAGTGTTTTACAATATGGTTTTTTCTTATCCAGGTCATCAATCTAGATGAAAATCGCTTGGGAGCGAACTTGTTTTGGGATGTTATAGGTCCCAGATTGGTTCCGCTTAAAGCCACCCCTCTATCTCTCTCTTTTTAAGCTTGTCTAAAGTTTTTTTAGGTCCTTTTAAATCCCACCCCATAAATCCTAGTTTTTTTTATTCAAATATTTACTTTTAATATTTTTCTTATTATTGGTTCTGACCGATGCAAACCCATTCGAGCAATCTAAATACAGATTTGTCGGTAAACAATTTGCACCACCAATCCACATTTTAAAAGATTAAAAATATTATAGGATGGAAAGTCCATATAAACAAATGCACCCACTCCACCTCCCAACGGCCCCACCCCTTTCTCTAAACCTCAAAAAAATAAAAATAAAAATAAAAATAATAATAAATAAATAAAAGAAAGAAAAAAAAAAAAAAAAAGAAAGAGAAAGAGAAAGAGAAAGAGGAAGCTTTGGATTACCCCAAAGGCAAAAAGAGTGGACTTTCAAATACTTGGATCTTATGTGGCAGAGAAATATAGATGTACAAATATGTGCCACTAATAATTTTTTGATGCATACATTTAAGTTCGCATAATTTCCACATGATTACTTAATGGACCCAGATTCTATGCGGTCAAGTCGCATATGTAGAAATACAGGCCACTTAATAAATATATTTTTAAAATGGTTTTTTGGACTTAGTTTTTAAGGACATGTAATCTCTAACATGGAGATTATGAATATGAAAAAATAAATCAATTTTAAAAATTAAAAATAATAAATCAAACAAAAAAACATTTGGACCATTAGTTTTCATTGTTTTTAGACGACACACCTAATTGCATCCCTCTTCAAGATGGATGCTTTACACTTTTTGGACCGCATATGTAGTCACGCGGTCCAGCCCGCATGAAACAATTCTCCTTACTTAATTTTTTTTCATAATTAAAAGTAAATAAATAAGGAAAAAGTTTATATAGAGCCAACGCTCTAAACAATCAAATTAGAGCCTACCTCAAAATTTTATTAGAATAAGTTGTTTTGATGCGCACATATCCTCAAATTGATCATCTCGACATCAAGATGCATGGACATGAGAAAAACTGGATTTCAAGTTTTGGAAATAGTGCATTTTATAACGTATTTTTGGACAGTCAATTTTCAAGTTTTTCAAGTTTTCATAGATCTGCTTGATCTACATTATTTTTTAAGCTTTAAATTTTATAATTAAATATAAAAATATATTTTAAAGCTATCACAAAATTTTTCAATATTGAAAGCACATTTCTCGACATTATCTTAAGGTGTGCTTTACTTTGATGGTTGAGAGCCTTGGCTCTATACAAACCACATCGAATAAATAAAGCACACACTCACTAGCATTACCCAAATACTTAGAACTTGCGAAGCAAAGAAATAAATCTATTACACTATGCGTATGGCTAATAAATTTAGAGTATACATGAGTAAATATCCTAATGATCACTTTATTTCTCTTTTATAATTATGGTAAATAGCATACATATTCACTAGCCTGGGGCTGTCACTTGGTTTAATGGTAAAAAGCTCTGGTAGCCAGCATAAGAGCGTAGGTTCAAGTCCCTAAGAGCGCGGCCTAAACCAAAAGCATAAGTCAAAGGTTAGTACTGTTTCCAACCCACAACCCACCCCCTCCTAGAACCTCTTTAAGTAGGACCAACACCAGATTATTAGCCAAAAGCATAAGTCAAAGGTTAAGACTGTTTCGAACCCACAACCCACCCCCTCCTAGAAAGTAGGACCAACACCATATTATTAGCCAAAAGCATAAGCCAAAGGTTAGGACTGTTTCCAACCCAAAACCCACCCCCTCCTAGAACCTCCTTAAGTAGGACCAACACCAGATTATTAGTAACCCCAGATTATTAGTCCAAAGGAAAGGTCTGTTTCCAACCCACCCCTCCAGGTTAGTCCAAAGGTTAGGACTGTTTCCAACCCACCCATCCAGGATAGGAATGTTTCCAACCCATAAGCCAAAGGTTAAGACTGTTTCCAACCCACCCCTCTAAGTTAGGACTGTTTCCAACCCACCCCTCCAGGTTAGGACTGTTTCTGTTTCCAACCCATAAGCCAAAGGTTAGACCGTTTCCAACCCACCCCCAACCCATAATTAGGACTGTTTCCAACCCACCCCTCCAGTTAGGACTGTTTCTGTTTCCAACTCATAAGCCAAAGGTTAAGACTGTTTCCAATCCACCCCTAACCCACCCCTCCAGGTTAGGACTGTTTTTAACCCACCCCTCCAGGTTAGGACTGTTTCCAACCCATAAGCCAAAGGTTAAGACCGTTTCCAACCCATCCCTCCAGGTTAGGACTGTTTCCAACCCACCCTCCTGGAACCTCCGTAAGTAGGACTAAGGACCACCAGATTATGGCTCTTTTCTATTCGCTGGCATTACCCACAACTCGCTGGCATTACCCACAACTTTTGCAAAGTTCATATATATGGAGCTTTCCTGCAACGAGAATGCTCCTAAAGCCCTATTGTAGCTTTGTGCATCCACCATTTGTAAACTACAAAATTTCATATCTAAGGAGCTTTCCGGTAACGAGAATGCTCCTAAAGCCCTATTGTTGCTTTGTGCATCCACCATCTAATCAAAACTAGACAGTGGAATTAGATAAGGAAAATTGTTTCATGTGGGCTGGACCAACCGCATTTCTACATTCGGTTAAAGCATCCATCTTAAAGATGGATGCAAGTAGGTGTTCCATCTAAAAATAATGCAAATTAATGGTTCAAATGTTTTCTTACTAGAATTATTATTTCTAGTTTTTAAAATTTATTTATTTTTTTGTATTCATGATCTCCATGTTAGAGATTACATGTCCTGAAAAATTAAATCTTAAAATCCATCTAAAAAATAGATTTATTAAGAGTCCCGCATTTCTAAACATTACGGGCATGGCTGTATAGAAATAAGGTCCATTAGATAATGGGTGCGGTTTGTATAGAGCCTAGGCTCTAAACAATCAAATTAGAGCCTACCTTCAAATAGTATCGAGAAATGCGGTTTCAATACTGGAAATCTTTGTGATAGCCTAAAATATATTTTTTATTTTTATTTATAAAGTTTAAAGCTTCAAAAATAGTGTAGATCTACAGATCTATGAAAACTTGAAAATGTTAAAAATTGATAGTCCAAAAATGTATTGCATAATACACTATTTTCAAAAGTTGAAATCTATTTTTTTATCATATCTATACATCTTGATGTAGCGATGATCAATTTGAGGATATTTAAGTTTCAAAACAACCTCTTCTAGTAAAATTTTTGAGGTAGGCTCAAATTTGATTGTTTTGAGCCTCGGCTCTATACTTTTCCCTTAGATAATTCAGTTTATTTAAAGTGTGAGTCATATTGTATTATAATAAGTTTATGAAAAAGTTTATTTGGATATCAATGAAATTACATTCCTTTAGCCTTTGTTATTATTGAATTTTTTTTAATCAGTAACTTGATTTGTTGACTAAAGGGTCCTTGCTTTTTGTCATCTATAGGCCCCAGTTTAATGATAGTAGATTTGGCCAAGCTCTTCGGTCGAGTCATCCACATGGTAGAAAAGCCCTCAATAAATTGAAACAAATGAAAGAAAAAAAAAAGGAAAATGTAGGAGACACAAAATAAAACCCCATATATGGTTAAAAGATATTGAAAAGATGGATTTATAAAAAACATATTTATAGTTAGGGCATTTTAAAAAATCCAAAAAAAGGGTATAATATAAAATTAGGGATATAGCAAAAAGTAATCATTATTACAAAAAAAATATAATAAAAATATATATAAAGCATACACTAATTGATGGATCAATCCCACCTTTTTTAATTTCTTAGAAGTCGGGTAAATTCAGCCAAGTCCTAGTACAGTGGTAGGCCCTTTACTTTCCTAAACTTGAAACACATATACAACAATCTAAATATTTCCTGCCAACGCCTACTATAACTGTATCGAACAGTTGCATGTAAGATTTGGTCATGCATTTCACCCCTGTTACAACATCAACAACCATAACATAACCTTTTCCTAAAGAAGGGAAAAGATAGAAGATCAAAATATGACCCTAAGTAGTTATTTGCTGTGCTATTCTCTTCATATGTCAAAATGTAAAGAGAACTGATGAAATTCTTCCTCCAAAAGATGACATCTCCTCATGAAAACTCATTTTTTTACAGGGACGGACTGCACGAGTCTAGAGTTTGTTTAAGATGACAGGAACCCCATATTGTGGTTGCATTGTGATTTTGATACAGGGAGCATGCACATAAGAGGGAGACAGGCAAAAGGAGAAACGTTGTAGGATCATGGCCAGAGCCATCTTGGCCTCAATAAAGGCAAAGTTTTGGCCAATGCAAAACCTTGGTCCCCATCCAAAGGGGAAAAAGGCCAGTGGATATATAGAAGCCTTTGAAACCCCTTGAGAAAATCTCTCAGGTCGGAATTCCTCGACGCTGTCGCCCCAAAGCTCACGATCATGGTGGATCATGATCATTGGTAGCACCAGTTGGATGCCTTCAGGGAAATGTAAGCCTCCGAGTTTCACTCTCGCCGAGGTCTGCCGAATGATGTGCGAGACTGGTGGGTAGAGCCTAAGGACCTCATGGAGGACCATGTTGACCTGTTCAAGTCTCCAAATTTCCAGAGTTACAAATCTGGTACACATTGGCACATTTGGTTCGTGTGAAACCAGAAAACATTTTCACCTGAAAAAATCTCTCATACGGTCAAGGATGGGAAGATTTTTACATCAATTAGTTGCCAATTGGTGTGAAAAGATGTACTAAGACCAATTGATCTGAAAGTATTCCCACACTTGACTTCATGAGAGAATTTTTTCATCCGAACCAAACATGCTCTAAGTTGACACATTTTCTAAAAAAACAAAGCTAAAAATCCAAAACTATTTAGTCAAATTTGTTACAATCATGTTGAAATATTGATTTTAACCCCTAAAATTGAGAGTCTAAGGATTAATTTAGCATGCATGATGGTTTATACTCACAACTTTGAGGTTGGTAAGGTGGTCGAAAGTCAGAGGCGTGGAAGATGATCCGACAACTCGCATGACTTCTTCCCTTGCTGTCTGTTGCCATGCCGGATGCATCGACAACGCCACCAAAGTCCATGTTAGCAGCACCGATGTCGTCTCGTGACCTGCAAAGTAGAACAACTTGCACTCCCCTATGAGGTCCTCAAGTGTCATCTTGTAGTTCTTCTCCTTGTTATTTGATTCCAGCAACAAGCCTAATAGGTCTTGGTTGTTACCATGGCCTGCTTGGATAGCATTTTCTCTCCTTTGGATGAGGCCTTTTAGGATGCCTCTCACTTCTCTGTCTATCTCCTTCCTCCTCTTGTTCTTTTGGGTGGGCAAGAACCTACTTAGAAAATGTAAAATCAGAAATTCTCTTTAACGGCATGATTGGTACACGTGCAAATTCTTTCGTGAAAGTATTTTCACATGAAAGAACTCTACTATGTGATTAGGTGTGGGAATGTTTTCACTTAGTTCTAGCGCATTTGTCACACTAATTGACAGCTAATTAGTGTGAAAAAAAAATCTCATACCTAATCACATAAGGGAGTTCGTTCATGTAAAAATATTTTTATGAAAGTATTTTCATGTGTACTAAATATACAATAAAGTTTGTTATTCGACCCTATTACAATAATAATCAATAAAGAATCACTAATATATAGGTTAATGGGCACCTGAATCTCCAGATATTGGAATACAATAATGAGAACATAATATTTCTTTTAGTGGACGATTATATCGTGTTATCCTTGAACGCCACATGTCTAATCCAAATTTCACGTGATTTGGATCTTCATAAAACCTTGAAATATCCCCACCCCATTAAAATGAACTCTTCAGTTTTGATCTTTTGATCATGGTAGATTTTAGTCGTTTTTGTACTTCAAATTGAGATTCTTAAAAACTGTTTTCGGACACGTGAAATTTGGATCTCCATAAAACCTTGAAATATCCCCCCCATTAAAATGAACTCTTCAGATTTGATCTTGGGGTCGTGGTAAATTTTAGCCATTTTTGGTGCTTCAAATTGAGATTCTTAGAAACTATTTTCGGAGTGTGAGAGGATGATTCGGTAAAATTCTTGTGTGTCCCTCACACTCTGAAAAACTACTTTCGGAGTGTGAAAGGATGATTCGGTAAAATTCTTGTGTGTCCCTCACACTCTTCAACAATGGGTATTAAGGTGCACCAAGTTGGTGCTCTTGTCCAATACCATATGGATCCCCTTTGGTATTTGAAGAAATACAATATGATCCATACAATCATAGTTGTTAACAACTGTGACCGATGGGTTTATCACCGTCCAATGAACTAGACAGTGATGGAGGAGAAAAGAGGGGAAGTATACCATGTTACATAGTAACAAACACCATCAAATCTACATTCGATGGTAGAGATCCGACTGCCCTGCATCCATTGTTGGTGTAATAAGGATATGTTTCATATTAATTTATATCCTGCTAATTTTTTTTGGATAAAGTTGTTATGTTTGTGGAAACGAACCATAAATCTAGTCCATAAAAAACAAAAAAAAACAAAAAAACAAAAAGCAAAAAAGCAAAAAACAAAAAACAAAAAACAAAAAACAAAAGACAAAAACAAAAACAAAAACAAAAACATAAAACAAAAACAAAAACATAAAACATAAAACACAAAACAAAAACACAAAACAAAAACTAAAAACAAACAAAAAAAAAAAAAAACAAAAAACAAAAAACAAAATGAGTTAAACAGTTGAGTTCTCAAAGCATTTGTAGGGGTGGCAAGAGGTCGGGTCATGCCCGACCGGTCCCTGACCAAGTCCAAGTCATTTGGAGCGGGAACTAGTCTAGAAACTAGACAAAAAGATTTTGTATATATTATTTAGTAGACGACCCCAAATAGTTAAAAAAAACTTATGATGATGACGATAATAATTATTTAGCTACAGTTTTTATGCTTTGTATATTTATATGGGGTTGCCCCTTAACCCAACCTGACCCGATAGAGTATATGCCGAACCCAGACCCAAACCCAACATAGGTCGCATCCAAGTAATTTGGATCCGGACCCAACCCGTTGGGTCTAAAACATGGACCCAGACCTAGAACCGGACTTGGTTCGGGTCGCCACAACCCGATTGCCACCCCTAAGCATTTGGGACATAGAAGAGAGGTGGTCTTGGGACTCGTTGGATGCTTGCAATTTTTGTACAAATTTGGATTCTCATTTGTTTTCATTAAGTCCAACATCCGCACATGTCCATTGAATTTCCCAATGTGTCAATGAAGGATTGCTTTGAGGTGTGAAGCAACCTAGACTGCTAGGAGCTGATCTTCACCAGTAACCCTTTTTCATTTTGGGTATAACCAGAGCTTTAAGACCCAGTATTGGATATTGGATCAGCCCTGCACAATATCGATACGAATTGGCCATTTCTGATCTGGATTAGAGATTCTCGAAGGTAAAAAATTATTACAAATATCGAGTAGCGATTCTTAGTAAAACAGCCACTACTGAATCCGATCTGGATCAGTAATTCCAATGCAATCAATGATTTTTAAAGCACTGGACAAAACCAATTGGAGGTGCTAATATCTCTTTTATCTTAGAGAGAGAGAGAAATTGTACAGTGTGGTAATTTTGTGCTTTTTTTTTTTTGGGATTGTATGTTATATGACCATTTATTCTTGTTAAAAGGAGGCATAATTACTCTTAGCCATCGGATGTCAAATTGGATGGCTTGGAGAGTGTCAAAGGTTTTTAGTAGTTTTTTTTTTTTTTTTTTTTTGAACTTTGATTCAATTCAATGACACTTACTACCACTAATTTGAAATCTGACAGACAACAGTGATCGTGACCTCCTTATACCAAAAGTAAACAGTCTCTTTATATACCTTTTTTTTTGTTTAACCTTGGTTTTAGCCTACGCCAAAATAACAACCCCTTGACCCAATATCCACCGTTTGATAAAAGTTGCATAGTGGATGGTTACCCAGGGTATTCTATGCTCCTGGAAATAATATAGGCATGGACAAAAGTATTTAGGAACAACATAATGTGATTTATAAGACCAGAAAAAATCTCTGGTTATAAGTATCTATCACTGTTCAATCCACGGATGAATGGTGATTGAGAGAGTATGGAAGCTAGCTCAGTCGATGTCATGTTTTGGTAGGTCTTAACTTCTTGTTCGAAAAATTGAACCGGCCTTGAAAACCATCGAAGGGCCGGTTCTAAGTAACAGGTAAACTGGCCTAACCAGGCACGTCCCGACTGTTCAAAAAGTGTTACAAAAAAAAAAAAAAGCCAAACAAATCAAAAGAAATCTGAAAAATATTTTTAAAGCATGGTTAAACAAAGGACCTCAAAATGAAGTAGAAAATTAGTGAAAAAAAAAAATTTAAAAAATTCGATTTGTGCTTGGGGCTATTTTTTAATGTTTTCAAAATAGATGAGAAAATGTTAAAATAAGTATTCATGGTGAGAACACTTTCCGATCTTTCCCAAAAATGATTAAAAAACATTAAAAAAACGATCAAAACCCCTATTTTTTGAGATTTATATAGTGTTTTTTGGATTTTTTTAAAAATATCCGGCCAGACCACCTAAACTGGCCAAAACTAGATCGGCTAGTGCCTTATTGCAGTTTGACCGGCCAGTTCCAAGTTGGACCGGCCGAGTTTGCAAACACTGGTCTAACTCCCTCTTCATCACCCTCTATCCATTGATTGGACAGCGATAAGCGTAGGTCTTTCATGGTTATATAGATTAAATTCTACTTCCTGAAAAATATATTACGGCATGAACCTGAAACCCGGAATGTAAAAGTTTTGAAGAGCTTCAGAGACGAGATTGGCCTGCTCTCCTTGAAGTTCAAAGAGGCGCCTCCCTTCTTTGTAGCTGCTACCGAAAGCCGTCCGGGAAATGACATCTGCAGTTAGGTTCTGAAACTCTCTAAAAATTTCCAATTCTTTTCCTTCCAATTTCTCCCACCTCTCTATCAGTTCATTGCAGCAATGGATGAAGTCTGGCAGCATCCCCTGTAATGCCAAAATGTAGAAATGTTATTAAAAAAAAAAACATTATGGATCGCCCTTTTGTTTCATTATTTATTTGGGTAATTGCATTAAAACCAATCAACTTTCTGACCATAACAAAAAGATGTGCTATGTATAGTAATGACATGAACAGTGTATGAATTGCATCCCATAACCACAGTAGCATCTAGAGTGAATAAACAACCATTTTTACCATTTTCTTTAAAAAGAAACATAAACATTACTCTATCTCTCCACACACCCTATTGATTGTAATTTTGTTTGTCAGGAGGGATGACAATCATTTTAATTAGAAAAATAAACTTCCAATAGGACTCCTTAACTTTAAGAAAATCACTTATATTCAACTAGTAGTCCTATTTATCTAGATTTACGGTTGCAATCTTAAAATGTAGAATTAAAATGCATCGAAAAAATCTATTTTGACTTGATGTTGGAAACTCTCCAAGTGATCATCTCAACATCAAGCGGTATGACTATGGGGGGGAGGGGACTGGAGATTTTGAGTCTTAAAGATAGCGCATATTGTAATCCATTTTTCAAACTTTTCATGTGTTTATAGATCTACTTGATTTGAATCTGGAGTTCAAAATTTGATAACTAGAGATAAAAATTGGATCCTCAGATCACCCTAAATTTTTTGACACCAAAATTATATTTTATGCACCTTATTTTGATTGTTTAAAATTGCAACCTTATGCAAACCAGACCCATTAACTATTGAAACCCTAGTTCCCTGTCTATTACGACTCTATAAGCTTTTATGAGTGAGTGTAACAAGGATATGAGTTAGAACACACGTACTCATCTCCTTTAATGATATAGTATAGGTCATACATTTGAAAAATTTATGGCCACAAAATGTCTAATAAATGCATGGATGGTATGATAGTGAGGGAAGAGAGGACATCCTATGTCTATGTTCATATCTCTCTATCACCCCTCATCCACTTAATGGACTGAGAAGATAGGCATAACCAGATCTAGTATGCCGCATGTTAACTTGATATTTCATGTACAAGCCCATAGGGGTGTTAATGGGTTGGGTCGGTTCGGGTCAGCCTTGACTGACTGGGTCCTAGCTAGACGTAGACACGACCTTCTTTTATGTATTTTGCTTTGGAAATTTTCTTTTTCCCTATTTCACCATCTATTCACAACGTGGTCAACATAATTGGTCCTGGACCCGACCATTGGTCCTTGTCAGGTCCAGGTCTCGATAAAAAGGAAATCATTCTTAATCTGCAAAATTTGGCACAACAATCTTTTGTGAAGGTTATACCTAAAGGTAGATGGACACCATCAGTACATGGATGTGTTAAGCTTAACTTTGATAAATTTTAGGAATCCAGGACCTGCTGGAATTGGGGGGTGGTTAGGGATTCCATGAGTGGTGATTTTCACACATTTTGGGCGGTGTGGTGTAGCGACAGCCAATAATGATGAGATGTTTGTGTTGTTGTAAGGCCTCAAGCTGTTGAGAGAACAGTACGTAATTTTGGTTGGATGGTGGAAGGTGATTCATTAAATGTAATTAATTGGTGGGACGGTAGGTCTCCATGGAGTTTTAGGAGGTTTTGGATTGAAGCTTTGGATATTTGTCAGCATCAAGCAGCGGTCTTTAATCATGTCTATAGGGAGGCAAATGATAGGGCAGATTCTTTGATTAAAAATGGGGTTTTGTTCAATAATTGATTGTTTCTTCTTCTTCTCCTTTGTAATAGAGTTGTTTTCCATTTGTGATTAAATATTAAGTGCTTTTGTAAACAGACAAAAACAAAAAAGGTCTCGATAATAGGGAAATAATTTTTATATTATTTATAAATATATAAATAATATTATAAATATAGATACTTATAATATCAGGTCCAGTCGACCTTGACCAAACCTAACCCACCTAATGAGTTATAGGAAAAACTCCAAACGAGGCTGAGTCCAGTCATTTGGACTTGGATACAAACTACCAGGTCCAATGATTGGATCCATACTTGGACACATCTTGAGTCCGCAGGTTGACCCCACCCGATTACTACTACAGGCCCGTGTCGTTGGCCAAGTAGCATCTATTAAGTAGAGCATCTTATAGAAGTATTATGAGGACAATATGCATTAATACTTAAGCAGTTGTTCATCGTAAGGAATGAGATTTTAATGCCTAATTGTAAAGGTGAGATAGCCAGTTTGCAGAAGTAGAGCCTTGGGTTGGAACCTTTCTTACAAACCAACCTCACCTACCCAACATGGAAACATAAAAGACAACTAATACAACATCTTGTAGTGTAAAGGTGAGACAGCCAGTTTGCAATATTAGGGCTTTGGGTTGGAACCTCCTTTGTCAAACCAATCTGACCTACCCATCATTCAAAAATAAAAGACAACTAATACAACATGTTGTAGTGTATGTTGCAAGGACATAGATAAGTGTCCCAGCTTTAGGTACATATATATGAGTGTCAGAAAAGAAAAGCCAAGTTTAATATTGGTTTTTTTAGATACACCATGTATATCATTAGCTAAGAGGGGTGTTTAGTTTTTAAAAGTGTTTGAGGTGTCGTATTCTTAGTATGCTTATATACCCCAAGACTTATAAACGTACATCTCCATGTTCAATAAATAGCAGCCCTAAAGGTAAGGGTTATTGTCTTGTGTGAATGTCAAGGCTGGTCATCTCTAAATGTAAGGAGCGCTGCTTTTTTCTTTCTATTTCTTCTCCTTTTTTTTTTTCCCCCTTGTACTTATGAAGCTTTTGCTCTTTTATCTAATGAAATTGATAGTTAACATTCAACAAAAATATTTCTAGCCCTAAAATTCTATGCATTTCATCTGACCATTTACATTTTTCCTGTCGACTGGCCCGTTTCGGAGCAAGGGCAAAGTCCTCACCCGAAATAAAAAAGTGGTTGTCACACCATCAAATCAGAGGCCAAAGGAAAATTAAGCAATTGATCAGTCAAAGATTAGGTGAGGTTTCATCCATGTGGGAATAAACTGACCTTAATTTTTTGGATATGGAAAGCAGGATTGAGGATCCTTCTTTTCGTGGCCCATCTCTCTCCATTTTGACTTGCAACTCCATGAGCCAATAGTTTGGTTAGTGGGTTTTGTGGTGCCTTCACAAAATGGCCATACTTGTTAGAGAGAACCTCCCTCACCAGCTGTGACTCCAAAATTATGACTCTTGGGATGCTTCCAAACCACGTAACACAAATCTTACCTGCAATGCCAGCCAGCGTCATAATCTCTCACTAACTTCAAGAATAATGCATGACTTTAGCATAGTTGAATTGACCGACAAAGCATTTGTTATCAAGACTAAAGATTAGACTATGACTTGTTGGCTTGTTGACCGGGACCTCAGGCGGTTTAGTCTAAAAAATAATGAATTTGATTGAAAACTTACCAAAATTAATATGTAACTTTTTATATTTTATTGGTTTTGGCACGTCGGACTAATTGATTTTGACATGTTAAGCACGTTGTTTTATGTAATATATTTAATTTTTAAATAGAAAAAATTTATATAAGGTTGCTGTCAGAATTAATGATGCAACCTCAAAAAAACATCGGAAAAGGTTGTTTTAATGTTGAAAAACCCTGTAATTGATCATCTCGACATCGAGATGTATGAATATGAAAAAAAAAAAAAAAGATTGGAGTCCCAGAAATATTGCATCTTGCAACACATTATACCATTTTTCAGATTTTCATATATATATAGATCTACTTAATTTTATCCATTTTTGGAGTTTAAAATTTTATGATTAGATATGAAAACGGATTTTAAGTTAACCCTAAGAATTTTTTTCACGAAAATTACAGGTTGTGATAAGATTTAGAGGTGCACCTTAATTGGATTGTTTAAGGTTGCAACTTTATAGAAACCACACCTTACTTGGATTGTTTACTGTTGCAGCCTTTATAAAAATCACGCCCTTTTTAAATTAATATTCATATTTTTTTTTGTTTAAATTCCAGTCCAACCAATTTGACGTTTAGAGAGATTTCCATTAAACCAGATCCCTAACCAATTTTATAGCCCATCCTAATCACACTAACTAGAACTAATCTTTTCATCTTGCTATTAAAGGCTCCCCCCCTCTCTCTCTCTCTATCTCTCTCTCCAACTGGTTAAATCATTTTGTATCAAATGTTTCGGTGGCTTATCCATCTTTTGTGGATCAAGTTGGAATACAAAAAGGTGAAAATTTTCTCCAAACCAAGAACAAAATAACAAGGGATTAAAAAGCGGAGTTACTTCAGTATGGTCTGGCATGACCACCTGTGACAAATATCTCCATTTCCTTCGAATCTCAGTACGATGTTCTCAAGATTACTAAGAAATCTATAATATAGAGAGATGGTCCCTCTTTATATTATTTATTCTCCCTTGATTCTTTCGTGGAAAGAGATTTATGGTCAAACATAAGTTTTAAAATAATTAAACAAGATTAGAAAAGGATTAAAATAGACAATTTACAGGATATACAAGGCATAAAAAAAATTTCAAAAAAAATTTCTATAAAGTCTTGTCTGACAGTGTTTGAATTTTAATATTTTTTCTGCAAATCAAATTCATCAGAAATCTTGACAAATTTTCGAGAAAGACAACTCTAAAATCTCTATGTGTATTTTTCTTTTTTTCGTACCACTTTACTTAAAATTTCCATGAAGGTGAAGTAAGGTACTAGTGCATTAACCAGTAAAAAAAGTGAAAAGGCAACTAATATGAGTACCTTAATTATGCATGAACCATGATTAATTATGAAAATACACAAGGGTTGTGGGGTACCATAATTGTTAACAGTTTTGTGGAAGAAGGGAACAATCCTTGGAACAATATGATGAGAAAGGTTGATGGGCTTGGAGTTGGCTTGTTGTAGGACCCAATTGTTCTCCCTTTGGTTCCCAAAGAAGAGCTTGTATGGAGGGCCCCTTATCCCTTGTTTCTCTAAGCGCTTCCCTATACTTCTAGGTCTCCACCAAATGGAATATGTTATTCTTAGACTCACCCATAACACTACAACTGCACATGAGACTGGCAAAATCAGTTCTCCTAATATCACTACAAAATTCTCCATGAGAGAGGGAGAATCCAAGCTATTACTCAAGATTTAGAGAGAGAAAGAGAGAACCCAAGCCAACACTGACTAAAGAGAGGACACAAGTTACACTCAAAACACAGAGAGGGAGAGAGAGAATCCAAGCTAAAACTCAAGATTTAGAGAGAGAAAATGAAAGTGAGAGAGAAAGAGAGAACACAAGCTAAGACTCACTAAAGATTGGACCTTAAGTTACACTCAAACACACACACAGAGACTCAAGATTTAGAGAGAGAAAGAGAGAGAGGACCCAAGTTACACTCAAAACACAGAGAGAGAGAGAGAGATCGGTGATCCAAGGATAAGATGATGAATGTATTTATATAGGCATATACGTATGTATAACATAAGCAATTACGTGTTGGGCATTAATGCTTTGATAGCCATTGCAAGGAGTGTATGATGTGTCCCCCTTCCCTCTTTGCCTGCTTTTCATTTTCTGTTTTCTTCTTTTTATTAAATGAAATAAAAAGTAGATGTGAGTTGAGGCTTTTCTACTTTTAGCAGGGCCACAAGGGAACAAACCAAGTGTTGTTACCAAGAATTAATGGTAACCTAACTGCTTTCCAAGTCATAAGGAAATGTTACATGGGTTGTCAGCCTCACCCTTTTCTCTTTTCGTATAAAGAAGTTCTTGAGGTAAAACTATACAATAATTAATAAGGAAAATGTAAAATGAGATCATTTATCTTTGATACAAGGTGGGCACATTAATTTTGATCATTGGGTGGTTGTTATTATTTCATTGACCAAGCTCAAACTTCAAAACAAAATTTTTCGAACTTTTTAACACATCCAAGCTATCAAATTTCACATCAAATGGATATAATGAATTGTGACCTCCTTGTATGAAAGGTAAATAGTATCATTATATATAGTCCCATAATTAATAAGGGATTGTATACTACAATTGTATTTATTTTTTATATAAGTAGGTTACTATTACTCTTAGTAATTGGATGTGCAATCCGATAAGTTAAAATGTGTATTAACATTCAAGAATTTTTATGTTAGTCTTTGTGCTAAGTCAAGGATACATCTCGAACTGCCTGATTTCACATCTAAGTTTCAAGAATGATTTGCATGCAAAAACTCTAAAACCCGACGAGTTATTTTTGGTAAATGAAAAGCGAGAAAAAATACAATCGACAATAAGAAAGAAAAATAAAGCGGAAAAGAAATAGTGCAAAAGAATACCAAGATTTTACGTGGTTCACCACAAAAAACTACATCCATGGGTACGACAAATTGAAAATCTACTATAAAAATGAGAGCTACGTCACAGATTGTGATACAAAATGTATCTTATAACCATAGACAATACCCAATCAAACAAACTCTTTTAGACCCGCTCTCCCAATTGTCATTACCCACCAATCTCCCTTTCTATTACAAATCCAACCGCCATTTAGGAAGATAAATAATGAAAAAAAGAATACCAAGATTTTACTTGGTTCACCCCAAAGAGCTACATTCATGGGCACGGTAAATTGATATCGACTATAAAAATAGGAGTTACATCACAGATTTTGTGATACAAAAGGTATCTCATAACCATAGACAACACCCAATCAAACAAACCATTTTAGACCTACTCCCCCGGTCAGCATCACCTACCAATCTCTTCTTTCTACTCCATATCTAACCACTATTCCGGAAGAGAACTTTGAAAACAACTGAGACTATCTCTCACTAAAAGGGGAGACACCCTAAAATCTCCATAAGAACATATTCTCTATAAAGGTATTGCCTCTCATATACAGGTGGCCCCAACCTCTTCCTCTAAAAAAATCTACATTTTTCATACAGTGTCCCAAATAAGTACACATATTCTTTCGTCTCTCATCTGATATACATAAGGTTAGGAATCCACACTAAATATGAAACTTCATATAGATGTTACATATATCTCAAAAACCATGAGATAAGGTCAAGAGACCTAATCTTTTTCGATTTCTATTTTCTTTATGAAACTTATCAATATCAATCCTAATCCCGACTAATAAAGGATTTAATTTTGTGTGCACTTTTTTTATATTACCATATCCAATAATCTCATTATACCTAAAGTAAAATTAATTTAGGAATTTTTTTTGTATGTTTACTTTGGTATATGCATTAATTTGTATGTCTGATAAGAGGAAGGGCATAGGCATCGGTTGGAATATGGTCTAATGCATGATATAGTAATTGTTCTGTATGAAAATGTGGAAGAATGTTAATTTGTTGTTTTTAACAAAAAGTACTTTTAGATAGCTTTTGAATCTTAAGATGGAATACCTTGAGTTCTTTTTCGAGAAATATGTAGAAATAACATTACTAATTGGGTGTTGTTTATATAAGGTTGAGGCTCTAAATGATCAAATTAAGGCGCACCTTTAAATAGTATCAAAAATATTGTTTCAGTACTGGAAATCTTTGTGGTGGCTTCAAAATTATTTTCATTATTAATTATAAAATTAATGCTTCAAAAATACTATAGATTGAGCAGATCTATGAACACTTGAAAACAATCTCTTCTACCTGAATTTTTGAGTTACATATTAATTTAATTGTTTAAGGCCTCACCCTTAAATAAACTTTTTCCTTACTCATTACACCATGAATCATGGGGAAAAGATAACCAAATACAAGTACTTAGTAAATAATTATAATATATAGTCGTGGGAGGCAAGGACACACAGGGGATAGGA